GATCTCCAGTCTGCCTACCCACGTTGTGAATTGATCTTAGGCAGACGAAATCACCAGTAGTAGGGGCCGTAATGCAAATCGGGTTCAAACGGGGGTGACACCGCACAAATATGCATAAAAGAAAATAAAATGATAACTCAAAAATTCAAGGTATCAAAAAAAAGGATAACAAACTTTATGTCTAGTGTTGGATACATAGGACTGCGTCTATTTCCCGACCCGTTCTATGGATTGTGACACGTTGTTTTCCGTTAGGCGAGTTTTAACGCTTCAAGTTGTTTGCTCTTTAAGAAATGGGTTTTTCGGTGTGTCTTCGGGCGAAAGTCGAAAAAAAAACAAACTTATTTTGGTGGTGTGGATCTAAGTCGCTCTTCCAATTAATTGTTCTTGGATTGAAGAGGAGTCCGGAATTTGCGTGAATATTTCAAGTCAGCTATCTGCGAGGTGGAACCAACTTCCACTGCGGACTTCGAGCTCTCTGCTGGAACTGGAACTGAAACTCTAAGTCGAACTGAACTGATTTCTGCTCACTGCGGCCTAGCTTATATGGACGCCGACCAAAACCGGGGTGGGTGTGTCGGCGCCGGGTGTTCCTCGATAATTCTAAATACCTATCCACCTCTTTTATTTCTGGATAGGAATTTTCAACTTTTTTTTCCATTTTTGGGAGCCTTCTCTTACTCCCACCTTCTCACCATACTTCAGAGGGGCGTGAACTTCCTTCCCCATTTCTTCGTAGGAACCTCTCATACCCATCCTCTAAATGGGCGGTTACAGCCTCCTCCGTGCGTCACGTGATCACCACTCGACCAATGATGTCTAGTCGGGCGTGTACGATCCCGCGGCTTTGTTTCAGGAAAAAAAAATATCTTGCTTAACCAAAAAAAATTTTTTTTTCCTTTCCTTTTTTTTCTTTTAGTCGCAGGTATCATTTTCTCTAGCCGCAAACAGAGCAATACGATCGGTGGTGGTCATAACTCTTGTTCTCACCTGGGCTTCGTCAGTCATCTTATCGCTAATTATCAGAATGGGTGGTCTTTTTAACACGGCCAGACCGTCGCCTCGAAAGGAAATATTTCTAGGTTCCCATTCATTTTTTTGTACACATTTCTGATAACACAGTTTTATTATCGCAAGCTAAATATGTTCTGTCGAAAGAAATCGGTCAGTGGCCACCTCGTGTGCGGCTTTTGACACAATTAATTTTTCATATCTATCCAAAGCCCTGTAGTCCACTTGTTTTCCGTCACTTATCAAAATAACATTTTCATTTGGATTTTTCTTTGGCTAGTCGGTATGTGGTTTGCCAATCAGATGCCTTCCCGCATTAGCGGTTTGTTTATGTATCCCAATAACAGAGCCCGTCGTCAGAACACACCCGATTCCTTTATCCGATCAGAATTTTTTTTTTCATTGTAATGACACTCTTCGCCATTTGTTATTTATCAAAATATCCTTTATCCATTGTCTCTTAGCCGTGGGTGTTCGGCTTATCATCTACGCTTTGGGTCTTCGCCTCTCTTTTCCTTTCTTTCCTTTCTTTTCTTTTTCTGCCTTGGTAAATGGTGCCACATATATATATATATTCATACATGTTTCATTAAATAATATAGAAAAGTGTAGTCTATTTATTTTATGTAAATTCTTTTCATAACATCTGATAATCATTAAACGAAGAAAGAAAATCACAATACTGATGCATATTTTTAATTCAGTCTAAGCTTTCGGCTTAGATAAGCCATTATCAAATATGACAATTACTGTACAATACATTAAGCAATACACGGACAAGAATGTTATGACTGTCTGTTTCTGTGCACATGGATGATTTCCAAGCAACGATAAACACGCGCATATAAGACGCTGGAAGCGAAAATCGCACCGCAGCTCATGATGTCACACATGACAACGCGGGAGTGAATTCGAGAAGTATTAAGTATGGGAAGCCGTTGGTATGAACCAATAGCTTCTGTTACCAATTATAGACATTTAAGGATATTTGTGGAGATTTCAAAGTTTATTTTGTTTATGTTAGGTTTCAACTGTTTTATGTATATAGCCTCAAGAATGTTTACTTTTTGTTTATTGTTTTCATGTTTAAGTATACTTGTATTTTCAACAAGAATTTTACGGAATTGTTTGTGCGGCCAGGCATGTTGTCTTAAATGCCTAAAAATGTTATGAAAAGAATTTACATAAAATAAATAGACAACACTTGTCTATATTATTTAATGAAACATGTATGAATGAAAAAATTCTGTCTAAATACATACAATTTATATATATATATATATATATATATATATATATATATATATATATATATATATTTTTCATTAAAAACGACAGACAAAGGTACTAGGGTTGAGCTTTTTATTTAATTTTTTCTTGTGTTCTAGTAAGAGCTTTTTTTTCTGGACAAAGAGTGTGTAAGAACTTCTTACAGTTCTTACACACTCTTTGTCTAGAAAAGAAAGCACTTTGTTAGAACACAAGAAAAATTAAATAAAAAGCTCAACTGTAGTACCTTTTGTCTGTCGTTTTAATGAAACATGCATAAAGGAAGGATTGCTGCCTAAATATACAAATATATATATATATATTTCATTCCAATGATGGAATACACACACACACATATATATATATATATATATATATATATATATATATATATATATATATATATATATATATATTCCTTCCAATGGTGGTTAACTTTTAAATATTTCACAGTCATCCCGAAACATACTTTTATAAGAAATCAATATTTTCATTGTCAGTAAATAACTGCGTGAAGCTTTAATAATTGGCATCTTAATTGTTTCTCTTGTTTCGACCTTTAAACACTTACTCCAATTTCTTTTTTTTTGCATTTCATGGTTATCTTTTAGGAGTATGAACGCGATATAGAAAATATTAAATACGCTAGGCCAAAAAAATAATAATATTAAACAAAACATTTTTTCTCCTACCCAAGTCAATGGTCGGCCAGAAGACGAAATCGATTACGTTGATACCGAATGTGTACTGACAAATTCTCTCACACCAAGATGTTTTCGTTTCAGATATACATCTTAGGATATTCAATGTTGATTTTGAAAGCAGTAAATTAAATATAATCGTTTTCATTTATGTTTACCAAAAATATGTTTTTTTGGGATAAAGTGTCCACTGGAATGTATTGTTTAGAAAAACATACAATCCTTTAACAACGAGCATCTCCTTAGTTAACACGCCCCACACAGTATATCGTGTGTCTGTGTCAAACCACGAATAAATATTACTTAACCAGACAATACGGTGATGATCTGACCCACAGAATGGCAGGTATCTAGGTAAATTATATATCCAATACGGCAAGGATCTAAAATGCATTAGTTAGGCCGAGAGCGGGTACACTAAAACCATCGTCAAAGTCTTAAATATCGAATTTAATATGGACATAATAACCGTAATTTATTGTTGTTGTTGTTGTTGTTGTTGCTGTTGCTGTTGTTGTTCTTCTTCTTCTTTTATGTGACATATCTCTTCAGGACATCGGTGATCATGGCTCTTCACAATTTTCTATCATTTGGACCTCTTAACAAATTCTGATCTGCCATAGATTTACACAAGCATGTTATGTGGGCTGTCCGTCTTGCTTTCAATATATCTTGTGAGTGTTACATTTTTCAAGCCGTCTTTCTTCATTATGTGGCCCAGAAATATCAACTGTCTCTTCCTTAGGTATAATTGTTCTTTTTGCGTTGAATTTCTCTAAAACTTCGTCGTTACTCACGCGAGCATTCCATGGGATTCTCAGCATCCTTCTGTAGAACCACATATATGTTGCTTCAAGTCTCTTCTTCATCTGTGAGGAAATTGGTCAATAAATACTATACAGTCAGTATAGAAGAACTCCCATTAGAAAAGATTTCAGTTGACTTTTCTTTGCTGCTAACGAAATTTTCCTGTTTGTTAATATTTTTCATGACTTTTGGAATACAACTTCAGAGCCCGATATTGAATTTTCCGTCCTAGAAAAAGAAAAGAACTGAAAAAAAAAACACTCCCCAGATAAAACCACTATTTATTCAGATCGCTGTATATCTGTTCTCTCTTACTGCGTTGCGAGTCATGCGTATAATATTAAGTTGAAAAAGCAGTCCTGCCGGGCTTCTGACCAAATTTCGGGTTACATTTTTTCAATACTTATAGAAATAACCATCATTTTTATCATATATTTTTCATTTTTATAAATTGCTTAAAAACAGAGTAGGTAAATTTTGTATTGATTTTTATAAAATGAGGACAGATCAAGCCGATGCCGTAAAGCCTGTACTGAATGATTTCAAAAAGGCCACTTCAGTAACGGAAACAGCAAGAACTGTTCATTCTGTCTATAGAAATTAAGTTGAAAGTGTTCAGTCATCGATAATTTGGCCAATCAAGATCGGGTATTTTTTTTCACAGGACACGATACAGACAACTAGGTGGTGCCAACATTGAAATTCAGCAAAGCGTACGTGAGGAAAATCCCAAATAATCTATTTGGTATTTTAAGAGTATTCTTGTATCTGTTGAGTTCAAATTATATAAGGCCCTTTCATGCTAACTTCCTTTTATCATTTAGTAACCCTCTACCCTAAGCAGCTCTTGCATCTTGTACATTAAAATAAATCAAGTCACTTATTTCAATGAAAATTCTGTCACAAAGATAATAAAAAGCAACTGGTAACCTTATATCTATTTACAAGGTTGGTTAGTTGATTTGTTTAGTGACATACCAACCTTTATGAGATATTTAATGCTGAAATATAAATATTTTGTACGTATTTTTTAGATAATAAGGGCAATAGAAGTCTTACTAATTAATCCATGGCTGGGGGAGAAGAAGTGGATTCATAACTTTACCGAAGGTAATTGTGCGTAAGTGAATATAATGAGCCCATCGGAAATTGGAAATCAGCTTTCCGTTTCTCAATTCCATTATCAATTACACAAACCCGCACATCCACACTTACAGTATCTGGTTTTCCTTAGCGGTCCCCCATCTAGGTACTGACCAGGCTCGACATTACTTAACTTCTTTGATCATATGGGAAACGGTGTTTCAGCGTGATATAACCGTAAGCTCGATTTACAAGATGTCATTCATACGTCATATATGAGTCAGCATATCCACTATTTAATTTATTTTGAATGTATTTGGCGTAGTGACTGAAACTCAGTTTTCTAGCGATCTACGTAAAGAGAAGATATATATGTATCTTTTCAACTCATACGATTTTGGTGCATGACTATTTAAAGGTCAAATAAGGGACCAGATCCTGATCAAGAAATATCAATGTAGGCCTATTTATAAATCACAAAATAAAATGTAGGAATGGATAACAGATATAAATTTCAAGTTGAGATTGAACGCTTGATAGGTATTGTGGCCTTGTTAGGGCCAGAAATAAAGACAAAATAGAGGAAGTGAGTTACACAAATATATTAAAAGATAAGCATATGCAAACGAGAGTGTTACAGCAAGAATGTGCGGTCTGACTGTCAGAGTTGACTGCTGAAAACTTCTCTCCAAATAGGCTGTACCTGCTTCAATTTATAGCTGTGGGTGTACATACGTACGTAGGTAAATTACCATATCAATAGGTTACTTTTTGAAGGAAATGAACATTTTCGCTGGAAAAAAAAATCTCTCAACGTCACTAGAAATTAATCTCGGATCCGGAATTGACCTATCTGACCTGTTATTTTTTTTCTTCAAATTTCTTCCAAACAAATCATTTATTCAAGTCGCTATCATTTATTTTTTCACTTTTCCCATATCTTTTGATTACAACCTGCACATTTATTCCAACCACATATCCTTTGATTTTTTTTTTGTTTCGAAAAAAAAAATGAATAAATTTTCCTACCTAGACATATATTCCGCACTTAAGCTCATATAACTTTTACCTTGTTGATAGCACCGAACGAAAAAATAAAGATCACGACTCGAGATCACGAGAGTTGTTAGAGTACCACATGTACTGCAGCCGTAATAGAAGTGGTATGTCTTGGGAATCCGAGCTTGATGGAATCCAAGTCCATCGAGGCTAGTTTGAATGCAGAATATTCCTTCTAACAACCAAGGCTATAGAACCCTTTCTTTCCTGCTATACAAACATATCTGGGGATATAACATATGGATTCATAGTTTATCCATTACATCACTGTGCATGTAAACCAGTAAAATTAATGCGATCAAACGTAATTTTTTTCAAAGGTAATTTTTTCGACTTATATCCAAAGCTTGATTCGATTCCTTCAGAATATCAGACAAAGTTTAGTATATACATTTACACTATTGTCATATAATATTTAATAATAAATATCAACGCATATTAAAATCATCATTCATAAAATCACTGCGTCGAACGAAATTCTGTTATTTTCAGATGAAAAATCATTATCCGTTGAATGGTGACGAAATTAACAAATAAAAAAAAAAAGTTACTAAATACAGATTATAACAGCAGAAGGCCAAAGAATCGCCCCTGAAATGTCACGGTGAATGCAACAATGCATTAATAACATTAATTCATTTCAGAACAGTTGACATGCAGGTAGCATTAAGGTTATCGGTGCAGAAAATGGAATCAGTGCATCGAGTTCAAATACCACCAGGTTTGTTGGGATCACTTTTGCGCAAATGCTATGGGGGGAGGACAAACATGGATCATTTTCTTCTCCCCTCGACTATTGGCTGAAAAGTCCCGAAATTTCTGTCTCTGCTAGTCGAGGAGATGGAATGTTCTGAATGTAAAATCGTTGAAAAACTAACAAAGCCAACCCCTTCCTTTACCAATAGTTCTTGGCATTTGTGTTGTGATGATTTATGTTCGCCTATATCCCGAATATTGTTTTTCTTTCTTCGCATAAATAAATACATGATGGTGCAATGATTTTGTCATTTTTTTTACGATTCGGAAGGAAATAAATCTACTTCTCAAGCTACAAATTTGACTCATTTAAAATCATCCATTTTATATAATTATTATATTTACAGACATACATATTTTATAATTGTTGATTTATTCCTGTTCTTTTTTACTGTTTATCAAACTTTGGTGGTTATTTACAGGCGAAACATCTTTTGGATTTTTAGCATAATATATATATATATATATATATATATATATATTGTGAATGAATATTGCATTAACTATGTTTTGGGATAACAATGTATTTTCCAGATATAAGTCCTATTATTTAACCCATAGCTAGAAAAGGAGATGGAGCACATTGTGCAATATGTTTTTATGAAGCTTTTTCAAAACACACATGTTATGATTTTTTTATGGGATGTTACCCATAATAATAATAATGGACTATTCCATAATTAATAAATACTGCGCCTCATGAGTAGTTCAAGTCGAGTCAAGAGTCGAGTTAGAGGCAGTCCGAAACAGAGTCGCATTCAGACAATTACTGCAACACATTGGACTAGTGATACTGGTCGAGACTACATTGTTCTCTCTACTAAACCTGATTGTTCATACTAACACTTCTACTTCTCTCTATATATTCCTGTTTATAATATATCTGTGTTATTCCATACCTGTGTTCGAGTTCTTCTTTATTAGTTCTACCTTGGACTATTACCGTGGTAAAAGGAACCGGACCATAACAGTTTTTTTTTTATATATCCAAAATAATTTAGGATATGTCAAAAAAAAAAAAAAAAAAAAAAAAAACGTATTAATCTAAAATATTCTTAAAATACAGAAATGGTCTCGCGGATTCATTTACAGGAACAAACAACGATACATATCTGTAGTCGTTTATAAGACGTATGATTCATTAAAAGCTTAGTCTAATACGGAACAAATCCAAAAAGAATGCGTAAGTGATATTACTAATTGAGAAAAGATTGACAAAGGAATACAATAATCGTGCTCCAAATAAGATTAAATTAAAGCGCCCAAAATCTTGAATCATTTTTGAAGAAAAAATACCATTTTTAACAAAATTTCAACAAAACAAAAGTACCTTATCAGACTTGTTCAAGGAAATATGAATTAATTAGTGGTTATTTCCCAAGTCTACATGTTTGTATGTATGTTTCACCTCTGATTTTCACACACACTTTTAACCCTTTGAGACTGTCAGCAAGATAACTTGAAGATCAGAGCTAAAATCTGGCGGTAACAAAATCAAGCAAATAAAAACATTTAAGTACCTGCGATAAGTTTCAGAAGAAGGATATATAACATCGAAATCCGAACGCCTAAATCAAAACAAACTGTCACGAAGAATAAAACTTTCCTTAGAAACAAAGAAAAGAGTGAGGAACTTCCATGTAATAAAATTTATTCTTTAGGGCAGAGAATACGGCACAATTGTCTCAGAGCTGCAATGGAAACCGAGAAAACCATGAACGGAGCATATAAGCAATGATGTAGGTTTAATGACAATGGAAGCCAAAAAGATATTTTTTTTTAAGCGTTTCACCCCAAGCAAGGCGGGAAGCCACTAGGACGCAAGGGGTTACAGAAAATTTGGAGCAAGATCAGATAGGAGTGATAGAAGAAAGGATGAGGAGAAGGGTAGTGGATAGATCAAGGCAACTTGAGATGTCGATTGACATTACACTTGAATAGCTGGAGATTATAGCTCTCAGGGAAACTAGAATAGGGAAGGGAGTTCCACATGCGAGAGGTGCGAGACATGAAGCTATTAAAGTTTGTTCTAATGCCAATTATGTTGGAGAACGAAATGTTGAGGGGTTTAGGCGATTTATGAGTGGTTGGTTTAGGAATTTTCGTTGGAAGATGAGAAGGCCCAAATAAAAGAAGCAGACAGTTACGACCGTGACGTGGGCAGAGAGAAGTTGGCACACCTGCATCATAATATGGCCTAAAGGGTTGCCCACCGGAGGTGACTGCAGGGACACCTTTCCATGCGCGACATGGCACTACAAACACCCCGGTATTATACAACTGTTGATAAGAGCTTATATTTAGAACATGATTACCCATAAACCAGTTGGTTTCTTTTTAAAAGCAAGTCTTGATAAAAAATGATGAGCTAATATTATTAGCAATTTTTATTATTACTTGCAGATATTTTATATTTATTTTATTTTTATTTATTATATTTCTATTTGTATTATAAGTTATTGTATTAATTATTATTACTCACATCATACAATATTACATTAAATACAATGAGAAATCAATAAGAAAAAATATACTTTTCTAGAGTGAAATTGGAAATAAATATAAAATTAAAGGACATTTCATTCATATAATAGTAGCCCAGGAATGAAAACTTATAACAATTTTAGTATTTACAATATTATAATGTTGAAAGTTGAAGGACATTCAACGCAAAATAAAATAAAAAAACAACCGTCTGCAGAGGGAGATTCATATTTATTTAAATAGCATAATATATAGATGCCTCCTTTTCGTAAACATAGGTACTATTTTTCTAGGTAATATTTTCAAAATGATAATAATACATTTTGTTATAATTTTTTTCCTTCCTCACAAATTTCAAATCACGTAACGGCGGTAAACCAGCTTGCATTTATTTATTTATTATCATATCAAGTGGCACAATTTTCCAGCCATACACATTACGTTTTACACACGCCAGGCTCTTATCTATCAAGTAATTGCCAAACATCTGAGCTATTTGTTTATGAGAAAAGATCTAATGGTGTAGTGTTATGTATACATAAATTTAATTAATAATGATGTTATTATGTATTTTGACATATATCAGTTGGAATATAATTTGGATTTGTTTGTTAATATACGTGACTTAATATAAGAATGTGTAGCTTAAAATAAAAGTAAAAATTCAAAATTTATAATACTGTAAAAACAGAAAAACGGCCCTAACTCAAGAACCTCATATCTAATTTCAATTAAATTTCGCATTACGCCTTGCTTTAACTAAACTAGCAAACTTATTTATGAATGTCAGAAACTGATTGGGAGAGAACATCAAAAACAAAACTCTGGATAAACGTAACAAAGCATAGGAAGTTGTTGATTGACCATGCCCTGAAGAGGCACGGCTCCCAGGAGAAGAATTATACTATACATTATTTGATTTGTTAGTGTTATAGCATATCT